TTTCTATGTCTAATCAAATACTTGGCAACTTGTATGATCTCATATTTGTTTTTGGATAATTTTTATTTGTTAAAATAATATTTTTGGTTTAGGACAGATGTAACGTACGATACTTTTTTATTATATACTTGGCGTAATATATACTTTCTCTTTTTTTCTTTAAAGTAATATATAGTATAAAATGTAACAAAGATTTCACAGTGAAATTATTAAACTATGCGTAATAACTATTAAAAAATTTTTTTGAAATGTTATTAACAAAGATTGTAGTCGAAACTGATATTGATCTATAATGTATTATGTAGATATAATATAAGATTACGAACTACTTATATGTATAGGTTGATAAATTTAATGCAGCATAGAAAAAATTTTACATTATTATTTTAAATTTTATTATTTCTACATAACATAAACCAATAGATCATATTGTTTTAGGTCAACATCAGTATTAACATTTTAATTTGATCAAAATTCTTCATAATTTACCAATTTTTTACAATTTTTATTATCTATTTTGCAAATGTTTATCAAGTTAATAGTGAGATTCAATGGTAAATTCTCGAAATATTTAACATTTAAATGCTCTAATGGGTTCATCGTTAAATATATTTCTATCACTGGCAACGCCTTTGTCAGTGATAAAAACTCCAGCGAAGTGAATTTATTATCGCTCAAATCTAAATATTTCAGAGATACAAGAGATTCCGCCCATCCATTCGGCAGAGAACTTAACATATTTTTCGACAGATCTAATTTCTCTAGGACGGAAAGATGAGCGAACGCATTTACATTAATCTTATTAATTCGATTTCCTGCCAACAATAATTTCGTCAATTTCGGCATTTGCACAAAGGTATGTGAGATTAGCTCCGTTATGTTGTTGTAATTAATATATAAAGTGTTGATTTCTATTTCATTTGACATCTGCGGAACATCTTCGAGTTGATTAAAACTTAAATCGAGCGTTTTTAAATACTGCAAGTTTGCAAATGTCTTTGAATGTAAATTCTTTATGTGATTTGTGGATAAATTTATGTAAAGCAATTTATCATTGTCCACGAAAGCATCTGAGTCAATAATATTAATCTTATTTGTGGAAACTGAGAGATATTGTAAATCTTTCAAACCAACCACCGATAGACTATAATCCCTGTCCCAATTCTTAATAGAATTGAAACGATTATTATCCAAATTCAATGCAAACAATTTATTTGTTCTATTGCTTAAATTTAAGAAATAAAGCAAATTATCGTGAAGATCAAGAAAATATAAACTATTCGGTAGCAGTTCTACAAAGTTACTGATTTCCATTTTATTTTCAGAGAGATCCAGGGCTTTTAATTTTGGAAATAGGATCTTTTGCGTAATTACTGTAGTTCTCGGATAAGCAGGAAAAGAAAATTTAAACTCCAAATTGTGAACATCATCTTTACGAAGAGATAAAATTTCTAAATTGCGAATATTATTTTTACGAAGAGATAAAATTTCTAAATTGGGATATTCGTCATAAATCTTTACTTCTGCATAATTATAGCCGATGACTGCACTGTTCATAACAAGAACGTTTAATTTATTGTGACCTCCAAAATTAAAGAGATCATATAATCTGTTGTTAGAAAGAAACAGTTGAGTTAAATTTGGTAGTTTGTTGAAGGCGTCTCTTTCAATTTTTTCAATATGACTGTCCGCAAGAGCAAGGCAGGTAATTAAAGGACTGCTGATGAAATCCCGGTTGATATTTGAGATCACTGCGTTGGAGAAATTTAAAAAAATCATGTCATCTTCACAGAGATGCCGAAGTAATTGTAGCGAGTCATCCATGTAGCTTGGAAATTCTGTGCCATCGTAAATTTTGTTGGCTCTGTGTGTGGACCAACCAGTTGATAATTGTGAAAAAAAGATGATTGTGAAGACAAACTTCAAACTCATAATAATCAATCTCTGTAAATATAGCAGAAAACATATTTTAGAATAATAATAAGCAAATGACTTGACTTAAATGTAATAATTAAAATTAATGAAATTATACTAATTAATAATATTACATCAAATAATAGGCTAATAAACGAGCAAAATATTATAATGTTAAATTACTAAATTTTATTTTAATTTTTATTCTAAATAAGTAGTAATTAGATGGAACGTTTTGGCTTACTTACAAGTCATCTTCAGCCATCAGAAAAGTAAATTATATATATAAAATCTTTCAAAAAAATATAAAACCGTACTAATTACAAGAAAAGTTTGCATTTCAGTATTATAGGTAATACTTATTAGAAAATGTATTAGTAATGTTAGATGTACAGTCTTGAGAAAAGTCAAACATTTATAAAAACAGAACAAAGAGGATTTATCGTTGCCATACGGGAAAGAACCAAGTTTACGATATAAAATATAGTTCCAAGTTTAACGTATCGATACAAATAAATTTAAGGTACAGTAATCCAAATGTTCTATTGTAAGAATTGAGTAATGTGTTTTCGCAAATATTAATTTATAACAAATAAATATTAAAACTTATGAAACTTACAGAATGCACTGGTCGACATGATAGATGCGAATTAAGTTTCTCAAGTTATTTCCCATAGATTTTTGGACGCTGAATATGAATCTAGTTGTAAAATTGCTTTATCACTTCAGGTTTTTTTAGATCTGAACGTGTCCTAAGTTAAAACTACTGGTTTGTTCTTTTATATATAATATTTTTAAAATTAACCTTTTATAATATTTGGATTCAAAATCCAATACTTTAACGTTGTTCCAATTAAATAAATGATTATAATTAAGGATGGGTTTAGCGATAACGGAGTGCTTGAATGAGTTCAATCGAATGTTTTTAAAATGTTTGTACTACTTATTTAACATAAAATTTAGTAATTTAACATCATAATTTTTATTCATTTATTAACATACAAGCGTGATTTTTAAAGTTAGGTTAATATACTAATCAACAATTAGTAAAAAAATAAATATCAAACAAAAACTAATTATAATTATGAAGAAAAGTACAAAAGGTCATGCATATTGTAAAACAAAGAATTCAAATTCTTTATTGGTATAATTGTAAACATATTTTTAAATACATGCGCATGTTTTTATACAAAATACAATATTAAATTTAAAAAAATTTATAATAATTTCTTGAAAATCTTTCTCTAACATTACTGAAGTTTATTTATTTAATATGATATGTAATATATGTGATTATAAAACATTTTACGTATCTATATATTGTTGAGTAGATTTAAAAGAAAAAGAATAAAAATTATTTTATAAATTCTAATACATTGCAAAAACACACTTACTTATGTGCACATATACGAGTATATTAAAACATTTTTAATTTTGGATTTGTATTATATTTTACCAAAATATGTAGGCATTTACGATATCCTCTATACAATAATAATAGTATAACAATTTGTTAAAAATTATACAATAATAATATACTATTTAATACAGCAAAATAATATGAAATAAAAAGATAACAAAAATATTTTTTTACATTTACAAAAATGTATAAAATTTGTTATTTATTTGTAAATTTTCTTTTAAAAATTATTCTTTTAAAAATGTGACTTACCATTTTTACAATGTTATTAAAACTTGTAAACTTTATTCGTAGTGAAGTTTCCTCAAGGACTGCACTTCAAATACTGCAACAAACAGTTGAGCCTAGAGTTTGAAACTGATATATTCACTGAGCTTAGATTTAGATTTACTGGAAACATATTCTCTAAATCTGAATCAATAGTAATTAATTATCAATGGTTATTCATTGAATGCATCAGTCCCAAGTATGTCACTGGTAATTAGTAAAATTTAACTTTATTAACTCTCGGAAATTATTAATAAATTAAACATTCTTGTTATGAACAGTATAAATAAGTAAATAATCGCTATAATATCGTTGATAAATCAATGGACTTCACTGTTCTCGCTAATTGCACAACGGATTTGGACTCTGTTTTACTTATTTATTAGCGTTGCAAGGCGTTACTGACTCAATCAATGAATCTTTCACTAATTCAGATTTAGAGAGTGATAATAATGTTTACGTATCGCTTCTTTTCTTTTCTCAACTTTCTTTTCTCAAGTTTCTTTTTTCAACTTTGTTTTCTCTTGTGCTGATCTTTGTTAAAAATAGTTAAAATATGTTACATAGTCAAATAAAGTTAAAATTATGATCTATAATTAGACCAAACTTATATATATATATATATATATATATTCTGTAAAAACATTTATTGTAATTTTTACAACTTGCTCTTCTATAGATATATATTATACGTACCTTATTCCAATTCAACTGGGTACTTTAAAATAATTTTAAAAATCTGCTGCACCAAATTAAAAAATAAAACTTAAGGAAATAAAACTCAATCAAAATGTAAAACTCGTAGGGTGCATGTAGAGGAAATAAAAACACTCATTATGCAATTCAAACCCAAACTATCGATTGAGTCTATTTAGAAGTTGATTGGTTCAGCCGTTATTGCGAGATCCAAAAATTGCATAAATAAAACTCCCGTCATGCGTGTACTCTTTAGCATCCTTGTCCAACTGCCCCTCCCCCCTCACCACGCAAGAATAAAAAAATCAATAGCTCAGAATTAAGAGCTATTTATGAGCTTTCAAACCCCACAAGTTAAAAATTTTGAGCTCGTCCGCGTTAGCAGGAATTTTGATGTTAAAATAGGGGAAAGAGTGGGCTGAGAGAGTAGAGGGGTTTGAAAGCTCATAAATAGCTCTTAATTCTGAGCTATTGATTTCTTTATTCCTGCGTGGTGGGGGAAGTTAGCTGAACAGGGGTCTCTTTAGCGCCGACACGACCGTGTCTTTTGATTAAATTTAAGATGATAATGATAATAACACGATTAGATTAATTTTAAATTTTTGAATATTTATATTTTTATTTCATTATTATATTTTATTTATTTAGTCTTTTATAATAAAATCATATTGATGTTATACAAATTTTCGAATACATATATAAATGTATCACAATATTCGATTTGATATAATTAAAATTCAGTTCTGTTCAACTGTATATACATATATGTATAAAGAATTTCATTATTAAATAGAATGATGTACATTGTATAATAATATAAATTATATGTATATTTTATACATTAATATTATACATTTCAGTTTTTGTTAGATAATATTTACTTTGGATAATATTAATATCAAATCATAGTATATATCAATATTATAAAAGAAAGATACTGATTATTATGTCATTTAGTACTCTAAATGTTTATCATATGAGAATATATCTACATATAATAAGTTTAAAAAGGCTCAATAAGATAACGAAATTAGTAAATCAAATATGGGCCACGAGCCTAAGCTAGGTATTTAATGTTCCAAAAACAAGTCAATTTAAATAAAGTTATTGAACAAAAGTGATGTTCAATCACTTTATGTAAATTGACCTGTTTTTGGAGCATTAAATACTAATTCAGACTCGTGGCCCATATTTGATATACATATATTTCAATTCTTGCTTTAAGTGATAATTTTTGTGATAGGGAAAGTTCCCCTAGTGTCGGACGCTTAAGGTTTTTCTTAACCCGTAAAAAACACTTTAGTGAGAATTCGCACCCACAAAATTTTCAACTTGTGGGAATTTGAGAACAGATGAATTTAGCGGTCTTTCCCCACTACGTAAATTATATTTGTGCTCGATTGTTTGAAGTAGAAATTAAGATCCCGAGGATCATTTGCTTTAGCCATTGCTCGATTAAAAATTCATTTGGATACGAAAAAATTTTTACTACCAAAAAAAATTTATTTATATTTTATTTAATTAAAACTATTTTTTACTTAAAATACAATATTTTATTAACAAAATCCAATAAGATTTGTGTCATTTTATTAACAACTAAAAAAGTGACAGCTGTTTATTAAAAAAGCCTTTTTTCTAGTTTTTTAGAAATGATTTTGTTTAACACGCAGTTTTGAAAACAATTACGTTCTTTTTTCAAAAATTTAATATTACTAATTGATTGGTTAGAAGATTTTACGTTGGAAAATATACATTTTGCTTTAATTTGGCTTTTTATTTTTAGAAGATATAAAACTTTGAAAACGCTTGGTGCGAATTCACACTCAGGTGTTCTTTACAGATGTTTAAATGAGATGTGTCCTTTACGGGTTAAATAAATAAAAAATAATAATATTTCATTCTTTTTATCCTGCGTTATTTATAAGTTAATAACATTAGAAATCAAAATAAAGCAACAAAATAATCAATATTATCATTGTAGTTAACTAAATTAACGTTAAACTTTAGTATACAATTTTAAAAAATCATTAAATGGCACCTTATAGTACCGGACACAGTAAGACTTACTAACGTACCCAGAGAACAGTTTCAATATAATTTGCAGCAATCACAAATATGTATATAATTGTCAGAACATTTGGGGATATCGGCACAAGCCTCATGTGCCCATTTTTGGCAGCAAGTGCTTCTTGCAATGCCATATTTTTAAAATGCTTCTCTCAAGCTAATTTTTTGCCAGAATTTTTTGAAGTGCAGTTTTTAAATTATTTTCATCTCACAAACCTTCTTTTTTTTTTACTATTCGTATTGCTTAGGTACAACTTTTAACTACTGAAACCAAAATAATAAATACTAATACAAATAAGAACACACAAGATTAAGATTTTTACTGTAATAGGTTGTCCAGTAATAGGGGAAAACGTTTTGTCCGGTCCCAGGGAACAGTGAACCAATTTAAAAAAATTTTTTGTGAAAACCAATGCACTGTCGTATGCACAAAATACAAAGGTAATTAAAAAAATACTTACCAAAAGATATAATAACGCAACTCACACGTCTTTCGTCCACGCAAATTACTAGATATAATAATTTATAATTTATACGATGCACCAGTTTCCCGTACGCAACAATCAATCGATCTCCTTAGCTCTGCATACGCGACTAAAACGTTTCAAAACCTAATAGTTGTTTAGTCTATCCCCTCTACGGTTTACGCGGAAGAACGGCTCGATTAAACGATTACAGATATAGCTAATATCCGGTATTAAATGCCGTCCGTCGTTAGGGGAGCTCCACCTATACAATAAAAATTTCTTTAAAGAAATTTTCCAATTTCGTTAAATGCTTCGAGTTTTAAATTTCGGAAATTATGATCTCTTTGCTTCTTTCTGATATCAAACAATTGTAATCAACTAAAAAAATTATTGTTAGGATTTATTAATAAACTAGAAGAATAATGTTGTATTTTTTCACAGTGTGATTATTCTAATATACTGATTTTATAATTTAACTTGATATAAATACTAATGTGACTAATTATTTACAATTTTGACTTGAGTTGGAAATTCAATTGATGTTCTATTCATTTAAACAAATGCGTAATTGATAGTGAAGTATATATGTACCAGCATGCAGTACATATTAAAAAAATAAAATTGATATACGCATGAAAACAATTTCGATCCATTAATTTTCTTCAACGTTCGTTTATCTCTCGAGAAAAAACTGACATTAAGAGTTGCATTACTTATACATACTAAACGCACGTAAATAGAGCATACAATTGGAAAATTGTATATGTATATCGATTATATAAATTGTGTAATTTTTACTCTTATATTACGTAAGTTAACATACTTTTTAAGGCGTATAACATATATATCAACTACAGATTATAAATATCTTGTGACATTTATAGTCTGTACCACACAAAGAGCAAGTTTTGAACAGTTCATAGAAACGAAGAAACATATTCAAAGCTTTGACTATAGTAAATCAAATCATCACTGGCTATATCCCGCATTAAACATTGATTTTCAGTATAGACAATCTATACAGGGTGTCCCATAACGCTTAATTAATATTTCAAGGCGTGAAAAAGAATGAAATTTTGAACTAAAAGTTCCTCTTTCAATTTTGGCTCAAACCATTATTTACAGAGTTATTAACGAATAAAGTTAATCAAA